CCCTTTCCTATAAAGTTAACATGCTTTTAAAAAAAATAGAACAATTTAAAGGATCAGTTTCAGAATAATAACCTTAAACAGAGGCAGAGGATGGAAGCAAAGCCTTACCATTTTGATGGCTGAATAATTTTTGTGGAACTACTGGGCTCTCTTTTAAAATGTTACATACTCCTCCCTCCTACTCTTTTTTCATTGTGGTAAAAAGTACAACTTTAAATTTACCATCTTAACCATTTTTATGTGTTTAGTTCAATAGTGCTAAGTATATTCACACTGTTGTGCAGCAGATCTCTAGAACTTCTTCATGTTGCAAAACTGAAAGTCTGTAGCCATTAAGTACTAATTCCCCCTCCTCTCTTGCCCCTCCCCTTGGCAACCACCTTTTGACTTTCTGTTTCTACGGTTCAGACTACTTTCGATACTTCAGAGGAGTGGAATCATACAATATTTGTCTTTTTTGTGATTGGCTTATTTCACGTAAATAACAGATGTGCTCGAGGTGCATCCATGTTGTAGCATGTGGCAGGATTAAATCCTTACACACTCTTCTTGATAGTTCCTTCTAACTGCCTATGCCACGAAATTTAAATCTTTGTTCTATGCTGCCTGACACTGCTCCCTAACTGTTCCACGTGCAAGTGACTCCTCATGGCTGGTGACCCAACAGCATGTCTTCAAAGTCTTTACAACGACCTTACCCAGCACCCAGCACTACGCTGAGCACGTGGAAATACACCCTGGACGGGAAACTCTGGGAGACCAGGGACTATTCCTTAGCAGCTACCATCATGCCTGACACATAGAAAATGAATAGAAAATAACAAAAGTATTTCTGAGGACTGACTGAAAGTCGGAGACCTGAATCTCCAGCAACATTCGTAAGAAATAACCTAAAAGAAGGGAGAAAAGTATTAGCTAAACTAGAATCAGAATCTCTGAAAAATTCATTCCTAAAAATTATGTAAAGAAGGGTACCAGACTATAATTTATCACTGAAGAGGAAGAGGGTGGCACAAAATATTGCCCACATTTCCAAGGCTTGGGGCTTCAAGGTACTCCACTCCCAAGTGCAGAACTTAAGTTCTGACATACAGCTGTTTTCCAGAGTGGGGGCCGCCAGGCCCAGCCGCCCCGGCTCATGATGTCTTGCCCCATCACAAAAAGGAGGAACAAACTGATGGCTGTGCCTTCAACCTCCCCCACCTTTAATATCGAGGAACAGACAAATCCCCAGGTTGCGTGTATGAAAAAGCCAGAGATGGATAAAAATAATTCAATGACAAATGCTGGAAAAACATACAAAGGGGCAGAAGCCAGACATTCGTGGGATTCCCTGACAGCTCGATCCACAAGGAAGGGCTGGACTGGAAAAAAACAGAGCCTCAGGTTCCTGCCAAGCCGTCTGAGGCCCTGTCCTTCCCAAATCATTCCAAGCAGCAGCCAAGACTTTACAGTAACCCTTCCAGGTCTCCCAAAGAAAGATGCACTGTGAACCCACTGAGCACGCCTCACCTAGGAAGTGCTCCTCCCTGACACCATCCGATCCCACGCAAGGCTGTCAGTAATAAAGAGAGGCCTCCCCCCTCAAGCCTCAGCTCCAAACGACTCCCCACGTGCCCAGAAAAATGGATAGTTAAAGGTAGCTTGAGAAATCCTACCCATCTCATTGGCTAAAGAAATGCCCAATACCCACGTATCAGCATCCACAAACCGAATACGATCCCTTTAAGAAAAAAAGAGGTCATGAACACTCGGTACCTGCATGCTGGAGGCCCAACTGTATAATTCTAAATCGGCTTTGCTCTGAGGCACACCTCAGCCTTCTAAACATGTGACTGTGTTTGGCCCTGACTACTTTCTCTTCTGGAGAATGGCCTGCAATTAATCTCACTTATTACCTCTGAAAAGTAACAACAGAGGGATGGCTGGCCAAGTCCAACTCCAGAGTGTCTAGGGAACTGCAAGCTCCACGGCCAGGCCTCAGACTGTCTGGGCAAGTCGTGGGCTCTCTGCCTTCCTCTCCCACAACAAAGCTCGAGCAGGGACTCCAGACAGACCAAAGGAACCAAGGGATTTGAGGAGCTGGGCTGAGCTCACACTGACCCAATGGGAGACGACAGCCCTGGGCTACATTTGGGGTGGTTTCAAATCAGCGGGGGAAGAACAAGGTTGTCTGGTGAAAACTTGTGTGATCCATAAAATTGAGAACAATAGCAACACCAGAGGGAAATGAAAAATAACACTATTTGCAGGGTTCTTGTGAGTCACCAGTTTTCATTCCTGTGGCTACCAAGTCCCTAAATCCTCCAATATGCAGATGAAAAGTACAGCCCACACTGGATTCTCCTTACATCTTTTTACTGTTTACAGGGCAGCCCCTGGTTCAGTGAATTATGAGAGTTTATCAGCACTGGAATCCACTGATGCTATTGTAGATGAACAAGTAAGAGTACCTTTTATTTACTTAGCACCCACTTCCAGGGAGATCAAAGTGCTTTAAGGACCACCTAAAAGCTCTCAAAACAGGCCAGTTTATATGTGAGTATGCTGACCCAATAAAAAGATTAAATTAATAGTTTAGGGTCAGTTAGTGTCAAAAACCAGTAATGAAAGTCACATCTCTAAGCTACTAATCCCTTATTCACTAAACTTAGTCACCCTTACTTCTGAGGAAGGAACAGTAAGAGACTAAATAAATACCCACAAAACAGTGACTTAGCAGGTAAATAGAGAAACTGGGGTACAGAACTGTGCAGAATGCCTGCTGGAGGTCTGGCTGGGGCCCACATCATAGCTGGTTCTGTAAGGACCTCTGAGAAATCACTTAGGGCTGCTTTAGGGTAGGTATCTCTGGGAATTCCACATGGAACAGGAACTCCCAAGCTGAGCTTCCAGGCTGGCCTGGCAACCAGAGGTTATATGGGGGCAGAAGATTTTCCAGGGCTACCCTGGACTGGGATGGGGCCTGAAGACTGGCCCTAAAGCTGGAAGAGCAGGTGAAGAGAGGGCCATTGTGGGGACAACTAACCCAAAACAGGAGAGACCAGGGGACTCTGTGGGGGCTACTGTCTGGTGCCAACGGTTCTGAAGTCGAAAGCACCATGTGCCAGCTCATGAGCACAGTCCGGCTGGGAGAAGGCCACTCACAGTGTGGGACCTGGGTCCTGCCTCTGACTTTGACCAATTCCTTCATCTTTTTGTGTCTCAGCATTAACAGGTGCTACCAAGAGAAGACTCTAAACCCAGCCATAATTTTTATTCCACCCATAAGCATAAAAAAATGCTAAAACTCTATTTCTCCAGAGTATGTAGTTTTGACATTTTGTTTATAGCATGGAAAACGGCTGTAGCCTTGTCATATAGATAATATAGCCAAGATTGCAGTGAAAATGTTTTCCATAGAAACAAGGCTCTGATTGTAAATGAAAATGGAATATTTGGAAATATTTTATATGGAAGATAAAGCTCTGTGGTATAAACAGAATTTCTTTTTTTTTACGACTTATGTTTTAGGAATGCGGTTACTCTGTAACTGTAAATCACTAAAGGACAGACTTCTCCTGTGAAGAGAATTGCGTGGGAGGATGTCCTGTCTTAAAAAGCCCTGCCTCTTGGTCTTCAGCTCTTCATAATTCTTCACTGAGATGATTCTTTTCACCCCTGACCACCATGATCACTGGTATGAAGGACACTGTACCAGAGCATGATGTAATGTGCCTGTGTTTATGCTGCTTCCTGGGCAGACTCTCTGCTTCCCAAATTAGCTCCTTAAGTAATCATTCTAACACCAACAGATACTTTAACAACAATTAGGTATTTCCTCCATGCTCAAGCCTTCGTTCACCCCTTTTGACCTCAGGACAAGGCAGCATCCTGAGAGACGGCTGGCTGGCAGAGGCTGGAAGTGTTGGCCCGGGGGTGGGGACCTGGTGAGACCTGTGGGAGAGCTTCTTCATTGGAGGGGACAATATCTCAGCTGGTCAGAATGCTTCACTGTAACAGTCACACTCCTCTCTAGCTCATTAGACTCCGGGACTGATGCAATCAAACCCATATTTATTAATAGCCACTAAAGCAAGATGCACTGGGAATTGATTTCTTCTTAGGATTTTTACACAGAGGACTTAAAATTTAAATCGAGACTAGAATTCAATACTGTGGTCTCTTCTTTAAGTCAGAGGTTGCTTACTTTACGGGCAGAATCTATTTGGATTTTATCCTCTGCCGCTTTGCTTAACTACGTAAAGGGAATTGCCTTCCCACCTCCCAAATGAACAGTGTCCAGAGAGGCTGTTTGAGTTAAATTAGATAACCTTACATGAAAACATAAAAAACAAGCATGTCCCTCTAAAGGAAAGGGTCCAAAGTTACTGTAACACAATGTAGCAGAAGGTATAAAAAAGAATTAGGAGATGAGGAGAAAATGTCAAAAGTCAATACATGAAGGGGGTGGGAAGGGATAAATAGGGAGTTCAAGATTTGCAGATACTAACTACTATATATAAAATAGATAAACAACAAGTTTATACTGTACAGCACAGGGAACTATATTCAATATCTTGTAGTAACTTATGGTTAAAAAGAATATGAAAACAAAGATACGTATGTTCCTATATGATGGAAGTATTGTGCTGTACACCAGAAACTGACACAATACTGTAAACTGACTATACTTCAATAAAAATATATTTAAAAAAAAAAACAAAGAAAGGAAGAAAATGTTGACTACAGGCAAGGATTAAACATAGTAAAAATTCTTGCTCTTTCACCCAGAAGTGAAATTGCTGAGCTGTATCAGAACTTTCCTTTTCATTTGATTTGCCCACAAACTGCCTTACCAGTAAAGTGAGGCCCTGTGTTCAAGCACCAGAAGGTGGACATGGGTGGGGAAAGGCACCTGTCTTACTGGTGCTTGTGCGGGGACCCACATAAGAATGGCTTGCGTAGGACCCAGGCTGTCCCTGGGTGACCCAAATGCTGGCTCCGTGGCCTTCACCTACCTGCTTCCAGGAGGGGTGGAGTAGCTCTCAGGAGCCTGGGGGTCTGGCTGTATTGACCACGTTGGGCCACTAGGACTGATGACAGGCCGAAGGGTAGGGGGAGTTGAAGCACTGCTTCTGTTTATGCCGCCACTTGCCAAATTCAGGTTTGTTACCTAGAAATGAAGTGACGGAAATAACCTGATTTTACAGAGTTTTAGAAAAGTATCATTAAAAGAATATGGGGATAATCAAGCAGTGTCCAGGAGATGCTGACTCATCTGAGCTTAAACAGTGGCTATGACAAATGACAAAGGCACCCATTAAAGGCTGGCTTCTGTGCACATCCAAGAGCAGAAGTGAGGCTGGCTGGTGTCAATATAAGTTAACAAGTATTTATTCTGCTCCTAGTATGTGCAAAACACCATACTATTCTAGGTGCTGTGAAATACAAAGATTAATAACAAAAAAAAAGCAAGGATTTTACTAAGCATTTACTTTGTGCCTGGCAAGGTTCTGAGAATTAGGCAAACTACTTAGTCTTCTTGACCCTTGTTTCCTAATATGAAAGTTCCAATGTTCAATAAATTTAAGTCGTTAATAAGAAGAAGAACTCACTGATTTAGAAAAAAGATGCATAGGCAATAGAAAAATGGGCCCTGACTTTAAGAAACAATTTACAGAAAAGGAATATGATTAGCCAATTAAACATTTAAATCTAGTCACTTCCACTGCCAAAGAAATGTAAATTCTAACACTTTTGTGTGTTACCACTGATATACAACAATAATAAAAAATATAGTACGTAATAATGGCAAAGGGTGATATTCGATAAGTACCTACACTGTTTAAATAATAATATGTCACATAAACAGTGTACGTTTAATACTTTTAATAATATATTGCCAAATCTATTTGGCAAATAGAATCTTTTTACAAACAGATTCAGCAGTATATTATTAAAAGTATCAAATGCTGATATCTGCAATCTAACTTCTAGGAACTACACTGCAAAACAACTGCAGATGATTAATGAGGTGAGTATTATGAGAGCAGTTACTATTTAGCAGAACTTACAATGTGCCAAGCTCTGTGTAAATGAGTACACCAGATGCATCTCATTCAAACTGTCATAATTCTATTGGTAAGTACTATTATAATCCCCATTTTACACAGAAAGAAACTGAGGCCTAGGAAAAATGGCAGATCTCGGGTCTGAACCATGGTCTTCAGAACTCTAAAGCCCGTGTTCTTATTCATTATACTATACTATGAACAGATTTTTGAAAACAAACATTGATTTTAACATTGAAAAAGGAGATCTAAATGGCTAACAGGATTTACTGTTAAATAAATTTTGCTCTAAACATATAAGGAGATATTATGTATCCATCAGAGTATTTTTGAAGATACTTAATGATACAGGAACATGCTGGCATCTCAAGTTAAAAAAAAACACACAGTATGAAACTGTACAGAGAACAGATCCAAATGTCCTTAAACACATGCACTCACAGATACACACTCCTAAAGGGCACGTGTTACTTTTATAATCCAAAAGAAAAAATGCAAGTTATTATGAGAAATATAGATGTTAGGTGATAAGCTTAAAACCTGGGTAGTGAGAGTGGAATTAGAAAAGAAAGAATGATTTGAGAAGCATTTCAAATAAGATGGACAGGGGATGCTGAAAAGAGGCAGGGACTCAAAACTGCATGCAGGGTGCTGAGTGGGAGACACTAGGACGCGAGCAGATGTAAATTCCTAGAAAAGTGTTCTCCTACAAAGTGTCCCATAAACCTAACAATTTTGATATTTATAAATGGGAGAATTCTGGATTTTTAAAAAATAAGAAAATAAGTCATTTTTAGCAACAGTGTGAGTATAGGGCTTCATTCCTAGTTCAGAATTCAGTAAGTGACAATAGCCCAGGACTGTGTCTTCACACCAAAAGACCCAAATATTTCTCTTGGGACCAAAGTTATTTCCATAGGTCAGGAGTGATTGCTGGTGTCTGTGGAGGCTGGCTTACAGACAATCGGCTGCACCCTCCAGTGTTGGCCCATCTTCAGAGGAAGCCTCAGGAGCCAACCTTGGCTTCTCACTTCTGACCCTCTTCTGCTGCCACCAGGGGAGAAGACCACACTGACAAAAGGGCGGGGATGACACTGTGGCATGTGACGGCAGTGCTCTCTGGTCCCTAGTGCCTCTGAAAAGCCTCAGCCTTCTTCCTGCCCTAACTAGAGGCAACACAGGTCAGGTTCTCAATCAAACAGACTCCCTGCAGGACTGAACTCACTCCTGCCCCAACACTGAGCCTTCCTCGTTCCTGCCCAGACCATTAGCCTTAAAGACTAGGCTTTTCAAATTAGACATGCACTTGCAGCTTATAAAAATACTACAAAGAGAGAAAGGTCTTTATGATAAATAACAGCTTCTCCAATGACTGCCTCAGTCACTTGTGCCAAAAACCTAATAAAAGAGGCTTATTAATAATTTATAGTGGAACAGCAATAAAATAAATGTACATACTTTACCATGTTTAGTAGAAACTGTATAGCTTGGAGATTAGTGAATGGGGAGGAGAAGAGATACCAGATTTGGTACATCTCTCTTTTAGGAAGGCTGCCCTTAATTTAAATGTCATCATTTTCATCATAATTGCTCACACTTACTGAATGCTCACTATGTGCCATGGGCTTACATGGCCTTGCATTTTCTTGATATGCATTATCTCACCTAAACCTGAGCAAGCCTTTGAAGTAGGTTCTATTGTTACTCCCATTTTACAAAAGAGGAAATTAAAGTCCAGAGACAGTAAACAATTAGACAAAAGCAACACGCCCACTAAGCAGCAGGGCCACAATTAGAACGGAGAATGTTCTCCTTCAAGTGCATGTGGTATGTGTTTTCCAGAAAATGTGGTTTAACGTTTGAGCCCTTACAGTAGCGCCGTCAGGCACTCATAAATAAGCGATGTTTTCTATCTCACTTCCTCCTTCCCCATTGCTCATGGATGTAGATACTGTGATGCTCCTTTCAGAGACAGAGAAACTAAGGCTTAGAGAGGTTAATGTAAGTAATTTGCCCAAGGTCATGTAACAGTTGCAGGACTGGTTCTCTTGTTTTAAAATTCATTTTCTAGCTTTGGAACTAATAGTGAAATAGTCCTAGTTACTCTTAATTACTAGGTATTTTTAAAAATATGATCAGATACATACCTCAAATTCTGGAAACAGTGGTAAGACAGGGATCAATTACACCAAACTATACCAGCTTTTTCTTCCTTCCCTAAAGTTTTATTTCCTACTTGTTACCCTTCACCAGAGAATATTAAAGAAGTATAGCAAAAAAAAAAAAAAGCCCCAAACAACCATCCTCATTCAGTTTTGTTTCTTAGCAGGTTTAGTAAAAGACGGCATGAACATAAAACTAATTTTGGGACTCTTGGAAGATTTTGTTTTTTCATGGAACATCCATTCTGCGTTTCATGGATAAACCAAGAATTGGTAGCCATTATGATTTACTGCTACACAAAAGCAAAGCATCCTTAATTTTAAGAAAAATAGCAAAAATTACCACTACTTAAATGCGAGATTATATAAGGAATATGAAAACTTTTTAAAGCTTCTCATCTTTCTTTCCAAAGAATTCCTGCTTTAAAAAACAAAAATCTGTCTCTATCAAACCATAACAATCTGCCCCTCTAAATAGTCTATTCCTGCTTCTATGGTTTTGTCACACTCAGTGCTTATGCCACAACCACCTCCACTGCACCAAGCTCTGCCTTCCCAGGACGTACACTGCTAAAAAGTTACCAAACAACCTGGGGCTCACTTAGACATGGTCTCAGAGTCTTCTTTACAGATTTCCCCAGGTAGCCATCACCAATCCAGTCAGACTGACAGGGGAGATGACCTATTTTCAATCCCTGTTCTAGAACAGTGCTACCCAGTAGAAGGTACTGTGAAGGAGAGGTTCTATGATCTGCACTGTCCAGTAGAGCAGCCACAAGCCACATGTGGCCCTTGTGCACGTGAAGTGTGACTGAGGAACTGGATCTTAAACCTTATATGACTTAAATTTAAAAAGCCATATGCAGGTAGAGGCCACCTTACAGTACAGCACAGCTCTAGAGGGTTTGACCAGAATGTGCTGAATCTTACATGTACAGATTCACGCCTGGCTAAAGCTCAGTCCAAGCAAATTGTCTCTAGATTAAATGAATTAAGAAAGCCTCTTGTCCTTCCTTTCAGCTTTTTGGTTTTTTTCTAGAATAGGTAGAAAAAGTCACTGAACTAAAGTGGATCCAAGCGTCAGTTTTGGCCCTAGTAGAAACTTGTCGTGACCAGAGCAGACCAAAGGGCAGGGATAATCTCCCAGCACTGGACAGACATTAAGAAACGTTACAAGCCAATTAGAGTTCACACCTGGAGGTTTCTTCCTCAACAAGAGAGGATGATGAATATTGCTGTCACCAGGCTGCATCTGCTTCTCTGTCCATCTACCTTTCTCCAGATAATGTAATAAAACCAGCTTTGATCAGATGAAGAGAAAGTGGAAAATGGCATTTATCTACACCCGATTTGCAACAATGCTTATGATTAACATTTCACTGCTAAAGAATTTTTTTTTTAAAAGACAGGCTCACAGCACATAGACAGAGCACTAGTCACAAAACAGGGGCTCACTGTTTTAGTTAGGAGTATTAGGCTGTTCAGGTAGAGGCTGTGGCCATCGGGCCAGCTGGCTTCTCTGGGCTAATAAGCAGAGACTATGGTAGTAAATCTAGGCTAGCCAACTCGTGAACTGATGCCACTGGTCTCAAAGGGGTCTGGAAGCCTGATGGGATAGTTAACTAAAAGCCATTTTAATTATTGAAACTATGACTCAAAGAATATACCTTACTGATAATAGATATCAACATCTTTATGTGCAAAAGACAGTACATGCCTATAAGAACCTTGTAAGACTCTGTTTGGACCTCTAAAATGTTCTTCCATAATCAATTTTTATGCAAATAGGAAACCTTTCAGTTTTCACTACAATAACAGTAATAATAACAACAAAGTCATATTAGCACTAATGATGGCTATTATGGCTATATTATGGCTAAATTTAATGAAAACTTTGCTTTTGCCAGGCATTGTTCTAAGTTCAGTTAGGTACAATTATT